CAGTTTGCCGGAGCCAGGCTGCGCTCCAACCCAAGCTTTAAAACGCTGCAGTCCATCACTGCCTTTTCTATGTTTTATCTTTATTCCCTCCCACCTGCCCACTCTCCCCAGCCCTACATACCCCACGGCTTGTCGGTTCGGACATTTGGTCGGTTACCACGGGAAAGCCCCTGTCTCAGAGCTGAGCTGCGATCCTGCAGCCGTGCCTCGCTCTCTCTTCTTCTCCCTTTCTCGCACCCTCCTTTCTCCCTCTCTTCCTTTCTTAACCACGGAAAGTCGACCTCGCGTTTCTCAGGCGCACCTGTGCCACCCAGGTCCACCTGCGCGACCCAGGCCCAGTCCTGCGCTTCACTCCCAGGTCCCTCCGCGAAGGCGCGGGCGTGGGCGCGCGGGCGTGCGCGCGCTCGGCGTGCGGGGAGACGCGCACGTGGAGCCTCCGCGAGCTCCGGGCAGCGTCGGGCCTCGGAGGGAAGCGCCGCCTGGCCTGAGGCCCCGGGGCTTCCGAGCAGGCGCCAGTGCTGTTCCGGAGGCGCCCACGCCACAGCGGAGCCTGCTGGCCAAGGGTAGGAGAGTGACTCCGGGAGCGGGGGTGGTGCGCGCGCGCTCAGGAAAGTTGAGCAAAGAAGAGCGAGCTCCTACAAACCGGAGGAGCGGGAGGAGGAGGAGGGAAGGTGGAAAACATTTGAAGGGACATAGTTTGGTATCAGAGCTAGATATATTCAGAGAAATGGTGGGGGACAGATACCCAGATGGTGGGAAGGCCAGTAGTGGGGCACTGAATCCCCGTCAGGCGGGATGTATGGGGGAAGGAACTTGGTGCATCAGAGGCAGTTGGCCATTATACTCTAATAGAAAACAAAAAATAGAAGTGACATCAGTGCCAATAGCAGGGTTGGAAGCTCCACGAGCCCATCCCTAAACAGAAACACCAAAAAGATTAGCGTCAGAATTGACTTTGTGGGAACTCTGGAAAGTAGTCACAGGTTTACAGCAACCAAGTGAACTCTTGATCAAGAAAAAGATGACTTAGGGCACCTGGGTGGCTCAGTTGGTTGGGCGACTGCCTTCGGCTCAGGTCATGATCCTGGAGTCCCGGGATCGGGTCCCGCATTGGGCTCCCTGCTCAGCGGGGAGTCTGCTTCTCCCTCTGACCCTCCCCCCTCTCATGTACTCTCTCTCATTCTCGCTCTCTCAAATAAATAAATAAATCTAAAAAAAAAAAAAGAAAAAGATGACTTAAACACAGCATAATGGGGACATCACTAGCAACCTTAAGGGAATAAAAGGGATCGTAAGAGAAAACTATGAACAATGTATGCTAACAAACCTAAATAAAATAGACAAATTCCTCAGAAACATACAAACTAGCAAAACTGACTCAAGGAAAAAAAAAAAAAAAGGAATGTGAACAGACTTATAACAAGTAGAGATTAAATCAATCGTCAAAAACCTCCTGACAAAGAAAAGTCCAGGACCAGATGGCTTCACTAGTGACTTGTATCAAATGTTTAAAGAAAATTAACACCAGTCCTTCTCTAGCTCTCCTAAGAAATAGAATATTGAACACTTCCTAACTCATTTGATGGGGCCAACATTACCCTGATAAAAAACCGGGCAAAGACATTATAAGAAAAGAAAACTACAGACCAATACCCTTGTGAATATAGATGAAAAAAAAAATCCTCAACAAAGTCTTTGCAAACCAAACCCAACAGAATGTTAAAATAATTACACACCATTATCAAGTGAAATTTATCTCAGGAATGCAAGGGGTTTGACATATAAAAGTCAATCAGTGTAATATATTAATAGAATGAAGGAAAAAACATACCATCATGTCAATGCAGAAAAAGAATTTGAGAAAATCCAACACTCTTTCATGGTAAAAAAAAAAAAAAATCAAAGTAGGAATGAACAGAACTTCTTCAATCTGATTAAGGGCACTTTTGAAAAAACCATAGGCTAACATCATAATCGGTGGTGAAAGATAGAGATTTCCTGCTAATATCAGGCACAAGAAAAGAATGCCTACTTTTGTTTCTTCTATTCAAAGTTTTACAAGCAACATTGTCCTGAAAGTTTTAACCTGAGAAATTAGGCAAGAAAAAAAGAAATGAGACATCCATATTAGAAAGAAATAATAAAACTATCCTTCTCTGCAGATATCATGATCTTATATGTAGAAAATCCTAAAGAATCCACTAAAAAACAATTAGGGTTAATAAACAATTTTAGTGAAGCTGCAGGATAAAAGATCAACACTTCAAAATCAGTTGTATTTCTATACATTAACAATGAACAGTCCAAAAAAAAATAATAAGAAAACAATTCAGTTTTCAGTAGCATCAAACAGAATAAAATAGGAATAAATTTAACCAAATACATGCAATACTTGTGCACTGAAAATATGAAACATTGCTGGAATTAAAGACTAAATGAATGGAAAGACATCCTGTGTTCATGAATTGGAAGACTTAATATTGTCAAGGTGGCAGTAGGACCCAAAATGATCTACATATACAATGCAGTCCCCATGAAAATCCCAGTGGCCTTTTTTTTTTTTTTTGGTAGAAATGGGAAAGCTAATCCATAAATGCATATGGAACTGCAAGCAACCCCAGATAAAAGCTTAAAACAGATTAAAATAATTTTGGAAAAGAACAAAGTTGGAGTACTCACAGTTCTCATTTTCCAAAACATACTACAAAGCTACAGTAATCAAATAGTGTAGAACTGATGTAAAGACAGACATATATTTCATGGAATAGAACTGAGAGTCTAGAAATAAACCAGTACCTCTATAGTCAGTTGACAAGGATCCTAGATCATTCATTGGCAAAGAATAGCCTCTTTAACAAATGGTGCTAGGACAATTGGATATCCACATGAAAAAAATGAAGTTAGAGTCCTACCTTATACAATAGGGAAAAACAAACTCAATCAAAATTAAAGTCTTTTGTGCATCAAAGGACACCATCAAGAAAGTGAAATGACAGCACATAGAATGAGAGAAAATATTTATAAATCATATGTTTGATAAAGGTCTAATATCCATAATATACAAAGAACTCTTACAACTTAACAACAAAAAGAAAAACAACTCAATTTAAAAACGGGCAAAGGACTTGAATAGACATTTCTCCTAAGAAAATACGTGAATGACCAATAAACACACGAAAAGATGCTCCACATCTGTAGTCATTAAGAAAATGCAAATCAAACCCACAATTAGATACTGCTTTATACCCACTAGGATAGCTTCTAAAAAAAAAAAAAAAAAAAAAAAAAACCCAGAAAATAACAAGTGTTATTGAGGATGTGGAGATATTGGAACCCTTGTATATTGTTGTGGGAATATTTATTGGTGCAGCTACTGTGGAAAAGTTTGACAGTTCCTCAAAAAGTTAAGCAGAGTACTATAATAGGCCCCAGCTATTCCACTCTTGTATGTTGTTGTGGGAATATTTAATAGGGCAGCTACTGTGGAAAACAGTTTGACAGTTCCTCAAAAAGTTAAGCAGAGTACTATTACATGACCCAGCCATTCCACTCCTAGGTATATACCCCAAAGAATTGAAAAGTATTCAAACAAATGCTTGTATACGAATATAGCCCTGGTCACAATACTTAAAAGGTGGAAACAACCCAAATATTCATTATGAGATGGAGTAAGTAATGGAATACTACTCAGCCATAAAAAGGAATGAAGTCCTGGTACATGCTACAACATGGATGAACAGCAAACACATTAAGCTAAATGAAAGAAGCCAGACACAAAAGGCAACATATTGTATGCTTCCACTTACATGAAATGTCCAGAATAGGTAAATCCATAGAGACAAAAGAAGATTAGTGGTGGCCAGGGCCTGGGGACAGGGAGGATTTAATGGGTATGCTTAATAGGTGTAGGGTCTCCTTTGGAGGTGATCGAAATGTTTTGGAACTAAATAAATGGTGATGGCTGCACAACATTGTGAGTTTATTAAATGCCAACAAATTGTACAGTTCAAAATTGTTAATTTTATGTTGTATGAATTGCACCTCAAAAAAAAGTCATGAAGGTATGGTACCCATACTGCAGAGGAGGCAGCATGGCCTGTGTGTGTCAGCTGAAGTTGGAGCCATGTTCCTCCCCCTGCTGTGGTAGAGAAGCTGGAGCTGCTTTTGGTTCAGGTGATGGTCAGTAGCTACTTCACAGCCCTCTGGAGCCACTGTGGGGGAGTTTCAGAAAGCTGGGTGGGGCGTAGTTGGGGGGCAGCTCTGTCAGGACCCCCCAGGCCGGCTCTGTGGTTGTGGACCACGCTCTGCTGGCTCTGTCACATGCTTGCTGCGAAGGTTAGAGCAAAATATCCTAAACCTTGAGAGGCTCAGCTCCTGCTGCCAGATACGTAATGGAAGGCCAAGTGTGAGTCTGTCAATCTGAGGTCTCCATGGAGTTTCTCTTCACCACTTTTTTACCCCATTTCATCCATCTGAACACCCAGGTCTTGACATTTTATCATCTGAAATCCAGAAGTCTTACAATCCATGCTGTGTGCTCTTACTGTGGCATGCATTTATCTTTTGGAAAAAATACTACCTTCTAGTCAATGAAATTGGTGTTAAAATTTCTAGTCATGTGTTTGTGTGTTCATTAGTTGATGTCTTTCTCCTCCCTCCCCCTGGCAAGGTGCCATAATAGGTGCTCAATAAATGTTGACTGAACAAATGAGTAAACAAAAAACCACTTTTTTTTTTTTTAAGTGAACCCTGGCACTACCGCTTGATGGCCGTATGACACAGGAAAGGCCATGTAACCCATTTAAGTTTCATATCCTTAGTTCATTAAATGTCTGTAACAACAACAGCACCCTGGGGCCTGCGAGGCTGGAAAGAGGAAGTGCCCACATAGGCCTAAAGTTCCAGAAAACTCCAACCCAATAATAAAAAGGCAGAAACAGTGTTTTTTTTTGTTTTTTTTACCTTTTATAACAATGTATAAATGAAAATACAAATGGAAATCTAGGGGAAGGAGAAGCAGTCTACAGTGTTAAAAAGCGCTATTTGATAAATGGCAACTAAGAAGGCAGGCAAGTTGGGTGGAGTGGGGTAATTTACTTGTTGACTGAAGATCAAACCATTTTGAGGTGTCTTTAGATCTCAATCATTCTTTAAGTCCGGGCTGTCTGCAGAGGGCAGAAAGAAAAAACACATTAGAAACTAGAAATGAAGGGTGTGCGACCCATCCCTCCTTCCCCTCATAGTCTCCCACCCGGTATTCAGACACGTATGAGCAAGGTTCTCAGACGGCTTCGCTGGTGCCTTATCAATATCCCCACCCCTCAGCACAGGGTCTGTCCGTCAAGGCTGGACCCTGTCAGCAGCCCGACTCCCCAGCCCCGCAGATACCGCCTGCACTACGCGGCTGGCTGCTCGGGCTCGCCGAGCTCCAGGCCCGCCAGGCGAGGGCAGGGAGGGCGCGGCCATGCCGCCGGCGGGCTTGCGACAGGAAAGCCCGGGTATATAATGCGTGCTGAGGGCATGCCACACACAGCGCCAGGCTCTTCGCGTATCCGTAGGGGTCTCTTGCACCTGACGCAGAGCGACTTGGCGACACGCGTAAGCTGAGGGCACCTGAGGCGCCAGAGCGGCTGGGCAGTATAGGGACATTCGGTTCCAGTCCTGTCGTCTTTTTCCCCAGGCTCCCTCTCCCAAACCCGCTAATGGCTTTCTAAAGTTTCTCGAACAAAATCCACGTTTCGACCTAGTATCCTTTCTTTGACCGTCCTCTCGAGTGATCTCGCCGTGTGCGCGCTCCAGCCGGCCTTTCTGTCCTAGACCGCCACAGTCTTTGCACTTGTACGAAGTGTACAGAGTGCTTCTGCCTCCAGTAGCTAATCTCTTTTCATCAGTCAGGCTCTCTGACCACCCTAAAACCCCCTTCCCATTCAGACTTCACTCTTATCCTTCACATTGGTTTCACAAACTGACTGTCTGAAAATACGTTGTTTATTGCTTAAAGTCTGTTTCCCAGAATGTAAGCTCTATGAGGGCAGAACTCCTGTTTTGTCTCATTCACTTTTAAGTCCCATCTAAAGTGGAGCTGATTATGTAGGAGGATAAAGGGAAAGAAGGAGGGAGGGATGGAGGGGAGGAAGAAAGGAGTGGACGGACTTGTGTGCGTGGGTCAAATCTCGTAGTTTTGCTTATAAAGGGTTACTCTGTTTATTTGCTGGTTGCCGGACTCAGTCACCTAATCCTTCTCTTCAGCTCCTCCCGGTTCTTGCGCCGCGCAACCGGCCCTATGATTGGTCCCTCGCCCTGCGCTGTGTCCGGATGCGAACTTCAGTAGGTGGAGAGAGAGGGTGGGCAGGCTAAAGGAGATCTTCGAACTTGCCACGCCGAAGGCTCAAAACTCGCTGCATCTCTGGTCTAGGGCTCAGAGCAAGCCTTTCCCCTCTGTCCTCTCAGGCCCCATTAAATCCTAGAGGGTCTCGTGCCCCAATTCTGAGCCAAAATGGGATAGATCTTAGTATCTTCGAAGTTATGGTTTACCTGAAATATTCGTGTTAATTTCATATATATATATGGTTCTCCCTTCAGAAAAAATCAGTAAAGTTGGTACTTCAGGCAGGCAGGAGTGGAAGTGGAGAAAGGGGACCGCAAGAGAAGAAGGCTTTGTGGTTGTAGAAGGAGAAGGCAAGGATCACATGGCCATCTTCCCTCTCTCAGTGATCTCTCTCGCAGAGAAGAAAAAGCTTAAGAGAGGGTCTCTGTTTCTCAGAGAGTGTAGCAAATCCCTGGTGCAGACTGCCAGCGTTGGAGAGATCTCTCTCCCTTCGGCAGCTCTGGAAAACAACACCGCATAGAGCAGAGGGTCGAATTTTGTCAAAATTTGCAGTAGAGTTGGGGGTGACAGATTTCTTCCAGACGGTGCCACGTTCAAATGCTTTTGGAAATAGCAGGGTTGGTCCAGCTACCTATGTATGCTAATGCGCAAACTGAGGGTAGCTGAACGGGTGCTGCTGCCAGCTAGTTTGGAGGAAGAGGGGCCACTAGACCTCTAGCCTCCGGAGTCGTCGCTGTTCCACAGTCTAGGGCTTGAGTTCTGGGGAGGGTGAGTGTTTGCGGGAATAGGAGTACGGTTTGTGGGATGGGCTTTAATGTGTGGAAATCCATCTAGGCTATTTCCTGTCCGCAGCCCGAGCGAGGCAGTGCGACTGGGAGAGTGGGGGTTGTCCTACAGGGTGGCAGTGCGAGAGCTGAGGCAAGACCCAAGACCCTGCTCCCCTGGAGCCAGCGTTCTCTTCTGAAAAAAAGGAGTGCACTGGGCTGCAGAAGCTCTCTTGAGTTTCAACTCTTAAATCTGCCCCCTCACCTGCCGGGACCTTCCGCAACTTCCATAAGGGCGTGGCTACCACCTTCGGTGCCCCCCGCGGCTGCGCGCAGGTACCCGGCGACAGCGCGGTGGCCCCGCTCCTCAGCCAGGTCCACGGGCAGGCGGCCCCAGGCATCGCGCACGTCCAGCCGCGCGCCGGCTCGGTGCAGCACCACGAGCGTGTCCAGGAAACCGTCCCGGGCCGCGTCGTGCACAGGTCGGGTGAGGGTGGTAGGGTCGGCGCAGTTGGGCTCCGCGCCGTGGCACAGCAGCAGCTCGGCCACGCGGGTGCTGCCCATCATCATGACCTGCCGGAGAGAGCAGAGTGGTCAGGGCAGGGACGGGTGGCAGGGGCAAGACTAAAGAAACTGTTTGTGAAGCCCCCACCCCGTGCAGATGCCGGTGCAAGCCACAAGTGTCTAGTTACTCTCTATTTGTTTTCAGTTACCAACTCCCTTAGCCAGTTCTCCTACTCATTTCATTTTTCTGTACACACTGAATTCCATTATATTCTCCAAACTTTTGCTGAGTTCCAGCCACACACAGAACACTGCCGGAGGCACAGACAATAGCAAAAGGGTGAGGGACAAAATGGCTTGAACTACAGCCTAACCTCCTGTATTTCCCCCCTCATTTTGATGCAAAATTATGTAAGGCCCAGAGATTTTGTATGGTTTTCTTCTGTATATCCAAGCCCAGGACGAGGTAATTGTTAAAAAGTGAAAATGAAAACAGCAAACCTTTAATTTTTGTAAAACTTTTATTCTACACTTAGCCTCCCAGAATGTTAAAATTCACTTTCTTTAAGTATAAAATGAGCTTTGTCTAACCAGCCCCTAAATTCCTTCTTGTGGTAAGCTAAATAATGCTCCCAAAGATGTCTACTACCTCACACTTAAAACCTGTGAATATAATACCTTACATGGGAGAAGAGATTTGGCAGATGTGATTAAATTAAGTATTTTGAGGGAGATTAACGGGAATTGTCAGGAGGAGTCCAATGTAATCACAGGTTTCCTTATAAGAAGGTTACAGAGGAAAGATCTAAGAATGGAGGTCAGAGAGAAGATGCAGGGGCCATGAGCCAAGGAATGCTGATGGCCATTAGAAGTTGGAAAAGACAGAGAAACAGATTCTCCTCTAAAACTTCCAAAAGAAAAGCAGCCCTGTGGACCCATTTTAGACTGTTGACCTCCAGAACTACAAGATAATAAATTTAGGTTGGTTTGAGACACGAAAGTTATGGTAATTTGTTACAGCAGAGATAGGAAACTAAGAAACTTCCCAAGTGGGCGCCTGGGTGGCTCAGTTGGTTAAGCGACTGCCTTCGGCTCAGGTCATGATCCTGGAGTCCCGGGATCGAGTCCCGCATGGGGCTCCCTGCTCAGTGGGGGGTCTGCTTCCCCCTCTGCCCTCTTCCCTCTTGTGCTCTCTGTCTCTCATTCTCTCTCTCAAATAAATAAATAAAATCTTAAAAACAAAAAAAAAAAAAGAAACTTTCCAAGTTTACACTCTGAGAGTTCATTAAACAGGAGGTGCTCCCCTCATTTGGTTCATAAATCATCTTTGAAACAAAGTCATTACCAAAGAGGAATCTTTAAATAGTATCCACAATTACAGCAACCTTAAAATTTGAGTGTTGCATGGTGGATAGTGAAGACAGACAATTCTTTTTTAGGGTAACCATTGTGTGATTATATTAGCTAGACAACAGTGACTGTATAAAGAGAAATTCCTTATTTTTCATTTCATTCTGTATTGAAGATGAATTTTTTAATTTCTCAAAACCAAGGAAACATAATAAGTTATACTATAGTGGTTGATTCTTGTCTGGAGAAAGTGAAACTGATTTAATTTTCAAAAAGAGAGAGACAATATCAGTGAACCAAATTACAGCTACAAAAATAAAAACTATTTCAGTGGATTAGAACAATTCAGTGTTTTAAAAGAAAAACTGGAAAAGCTCTCACACCTTTACTTAATTATGCAAGACTTCTAACAGATTATGGTGTCAATTTCTAGAACAAAGGGGCCACACCCAAGGATACCATAATCTTTTGGGAGCTCTACTGCAAGTGCCAGAGCTAGAAAACACATGTCTAAAACCTGTTCTTAGAAGAAGTCACCTTCCACATATATATATAATACAGGTGAAAATATAATAGATGAAACATTGTGTTTATCCAGTGAAGTACTTCATCATTTAACTGATTTTAAAGGTTTTCATTACATTTTGCAGTATTAAAGTATGGAAGGAAACCTAACATTTAAATATTTAAATCTAAATAGCAATCCAAAGGAAAAAGAAAAAATCAATTAAATGAATATTTGTAGAGTGCTTAAATCCATTCGATAAGACATTATCTTTAATTAAAATTTTCTATAAACTAGTTTTATATTAAACACAAGTTTGGTTAGGATTCTAAACCAAAATCATGCCCCTCTTTCTCTATGTTCTTATCTTCCCTATTAAAAAAAATTGTTAAATCTAATTATCCAACTTTCTTTTTTCTTTTTGTATTTAAACAAATAAAGCCTCTTCTAACATATTCCAGAACTTCAAGGTCAAACTCACAGTCTCCGAGCAAAATTTTAGAGAAATTAGGAATCATGCATGCATTCTTTTTAAAGGACTCATGCTTTTCTTCTACCATCACACAGCCTCTCTCCTCTCAAAATCTCTTCGCACTTCAAATCCCAAATAATCTCAAGTTTTAAGGCATTTTGGTTTTCTTTTTATATCTGTATTTTAAAGTGTATAAAATTTATCCTATGTAGCATAGTTTCAGGAAAGGAAGACTGACTTGTGAAATCTGTGAAATGGCAGGTACAATTACTTTCCTTTGTCTTGTTATGCTGGAATTTGTGCAGTAAGCTTTTGTTTCACATAGATTTTATTTTTCAGAATCAGAAATCACTGTGGACATTGGGACTAAAACTAGGGTGGTGACTGCCAGGAAGAAATCGTTTTTTTTAGCCTGGATTTAGGAAGTTAGTGAAGGCAAACAACAACCACAAATGCTGAACACCCCCCCACCCCCACCCCTACACACAACTGGAGTGAGGAGGGGAGAAACGACATTTTTGAACAGTGAGGAATTGAAAACTCTGTCCCAAATAAGTTAATCTATAGCAAGCAAGTTAAAAATAACAAAAATTATAAGAGATACCTTCAAAATGGTGACTAAATTGACGACATTATTTCAGGCAAGATCACACTAAAGTTTTTCTTCATATGCCTGTATTACCTAAATTCTTAGAACAAGCATATATTTTCTTTACTTGGTTAAAGTAAAAATAAACACAATATATAGTTGCTTCTGAATAATTTCAACTGATATTTATTCAAATTACACAGCAGAAGGTTTCCACTGCAATCCCCCTCCGCCCCCCCCCCAGAAGAGAAGATGATCAGCTCCCTTCGGGGATCTGAGTTCCGGGCTAGTGGACCCAACAAACCTTCCATTTCTTTAAAATCTTGCTTTTTACCGCAAACTTTCGCAACCGTGTATCAGATAAAGAACATACCTCGAACTGTATGAACACGAATAGGTTCACCCCCCCCATCTCCACACCACTCTAAGGATCTGCACCCCACGTGCCTCCTCATTCCTCGTGGCTTCCTAAGCCCCCAGGACGTGGACACGGGGAGGTCTCGGTTCCAAACTCCACCTGAGAACTCGCCAAGAAGTCTCCCCTTTACCGAGAATCGAAACGCTGGCCTGGTTCCGACTCCCTTACAAAGCTTGTGCTCCAAAGTCGCCCGCCACCCCCTCCTCCCGCGGCAGGCCGGCTCACCCACCTGAATCGGGCTCCGACCTTGGCGGTTCCGCGCGTTGGGCGGCACCCCAGCCACGAGCAGCGCCCGCACCTCGTCGGCCCGGCCCTGGGCGGCTGCGGTGGCCAGCCTGTCTGCGGAGGGCTCCATGCTGCTCCCCAGCGCTTGCCCCCTGGCTCCCTCCCTCCCTCCGCCGAGGTCGGGCGCCAGTGGCCCGCCCCAGCCTCTCGTGACCAGCCCGCCCCTCCTCTCTCCTCCTCCGGGGACGGCGGAAGCCACCCCCCGACTCTGCCCCTCGACTCCTCCTGCAGGAGTCTTTCCATCCAGGAGAGCGCCGTTCTGCTGTCTTCCCAAGGAGGCGCCCTTCGCTCTGAACTCGCTGTGAACGTGACACCCCCTGAAGTCGCCCCACGCGGGGCCTCTGCTGTCACGGTTCCGCGGCTCGCCCGGGGGGCTGGCGCGGGGTGTCTGACGAAGCCGTGGCAGGGAGGGAGCCCTGAGCCCCTCCGCAGCCGCCGCTCCCCCCTCCCTCCGCCCTCCTCCCGGCGCTGCGCTCCCCCCCGCCCCCAACGGAGACGCTCGCGGTCTCAGAGCGAGTTCGCTCGGTTGAAGCGACTTTGCTCTCCTGTTTCCTGCCTCTCCGGTACAACCCCTCGCATTTGAAAGCCGCACAGGATTCCTAACCGCCAATTTCGAACCAGGGTGTTTGATGTCGTAGGCAAAGTATTGCTTCCTCTTTTAATCAGAAGAAACAGCTAACTCTTCCTCGCAGTCAGAGCCCTGACGAGGATCGGTGTCACCGGTGCCACTACGAGGTTTCCCTACTTTTAGATAACTCTCCCCCTTCCACCATTCAACACCTGGGTTCGCGTGCTGGGTCCACCATGCCGGAAATCCTTGCTCAAACATTAATTTTGGAGAGTCTGCCCACCCGCCAGCAGCCTGTCCACACACACACACACACACCCCCACACCCACCCACACACACACACCCACCCCACCTGTAAAATGGATGACGAGGGCGAAGGTTTCCCAAACTTGTGCAATGCCTGGTACTAGTGCTCTGGTAAGGGCTGGCTCCGAGAAGATGAGGTCTATTTAACAGGGATGATGGAGATTTCTGCCAACAAGCAGATTGGAAACTGGCGAGAGAGTCATTGGGCTGATAGACTTTGCTCTTAATAAATAATTACTCCTAGGGGTGCCTGGGTGGCTCAGGTCATGATCCCGGCGTCATGGGATCGAGTCCCTCATCGGGCTCCCTGCTCCACGGGAGGCCTGCTTCTCCCTCTCCCACTCCCCCTGCTTGTGTTCCCTCTCTCGCTGTGTCTCTCTCTGTCAAATAAATAAAATCTTTAAAAAAATAAATAATTACTCCTAGACCAGAAAAAAAGTGCTCAGAGCTCTAGAAACAGAGTTGCTTAGTGATTCAGAGTCTATCACATTCACAGCGAGTTCAGAGTGAAGGGCGCCTCCTCGGGAAGACAGCAGAACAGCGCTCTCCTGGATGGAGAGACTCCTGCTCCTCTCCCGTCCCCCACATCTCTTCTTCCTACTGGAAAAGCCTCACAATTATCTTAGTTATAAAATGGGAGGCTAAGAGTGGTCCCTACTTCATAGGGTTGTTGTGAGTTTTAAATGAATTGATGAACATAAGTTCATTTAGAACAGCGTGGCTCATCTTAAGCTAATACCTTTGCTCTTAAATTTTCTATTTTGAGGATTCTCTTACAATCTTGCTGTGAGTCACAGAGAATAAAAGGCTTTGGATAGAATTATGAATATTATATGAAAGGGAAGGCCAAGAAGACCTTAATCACTGAAAAGATAAAGGACACCCTCCACCACCCTCATATTTAATGAAAAGTTAAACAGAACTAAGAGTATAACAAGCAAAAGAAAATCCAGCATGGTTCTAATTTTACCTGTGGTTATTACTTTTTTCCTGTGGCTAATATATTTTAAAATATGTATTATTTTCAAAAAATGGATCGCTCAGGCTTTGCTAATGCCTTAATAGCACATGCTTCATCTGCCTACTAGATAACACAGCTCTACTCAAAAGTTACATTTCAATCCCTAGTTGACTTCTCTTCAAGCCCCCAAAATATTTTCAGTTGCTGTTAGTTCAGGGAAAACATGTAGTTTAAAATGATGCCATTTGGGGCACCTGGGTGGCTCAGTCAGTTAAGTGTCTGCCTTCAGCTCAGGTCATGATCCCAGGCTCCTGGGATCCCAAGTCCAGTCCAGTTGGGATCCCTGCTCAGCAAGGAGTCTGCCTGTTCAGTGGGGAGTCTGCCTCTCCCTCTGCCCCTCACCCTGCTCACTCATGCTCTCTCTCTTTCAAATAAATAAATAAAATCTTAAAAAAAATAAAATGATGCCAGTTAAGGGCATATAGAGCATGTGAGTGTTGATCTCTGGGTCATGAGTTTGAGCCCCACATTGGGCTTAGAGATTACTTAAAATTTAAAAAAAAAAAACCTAAAATGATGCCAGTTAAAACTCTTATGGGATGTAAAATCTGTTCTAAAAAATGAATTGCTGTGCTTTCTATATTTTCTTCCAGGCACCTCTCTATTATCTGGGCAACAATGGTGTGGAAAATTCAAACTGTGGTTGAGAACATAAAATTCTTTAATGTAGGTATGGTATGATAGGGAAGGGGAAAATAGTGGTTGTGGTATTGGGAAGGAGGGAACAGAGTTTCTTTATAATGTGTCTTGGTTTTAGACCAGTATCAAAATTAGCTTCCATCACTAAAATAATGGCTCTTAATCTTGGAGCAGGGGGAGTAGGGCTTTGATAATCTGTTGAAAGCTGTAGACCCTCTCCCCCAAAAATAAAGTATGTGATAATTTTTTAAACTAATGTGCTCATTTGCATATGTATTTTTAAAAAAGGTTTATATATTTATTTTAGAGAGAAAGAGCTCACTCCCGCACAGGTAAGCGAGGGGTGGGGAGGAGCACAGGGAGAGGGAGAGAGAGAGAATCTCAAGCAGACTCCTTGCTGAGCTGGGGCAGGGGGGGGGGGAGGGGTTGATCTCATGACCCTGAGATCATGATTTGAGCTGAAATCAAGAGTCAGATGCTTAACTGACTGAGCCACCCAGGCACCCCTATTTGCACATGTATTTCTGAATATAACTTTTAGGGAATTCAGAAATTCTTCTAAAACCAACTACGGATTCCTACTCAAGAGCTCTTTAAACTCTTATGCAATATATTGGACTACTGTTGAAGGAAATGCGTGAGGGAACCATATAAAAACCACCTCTGGATGAATTATATACAGACGTGGAGGTTGACTTTTTCTAAGAACAGGTTTTAGACAGGTATATCCTAGCTCTGGCACTTTTGTAGTAGAGCTCCTAAAAGATTATGGCATCCTTGGGTGTGGCCCCTCAGGTCTAGAAATTGATCCCATACTCTATTAGAAATCTTGTGTAAATAAGTAGTTAATAATAGTGTAAAACTTTCCTAGTTTTTCTTTCAAAGAAGCTACCATACTCCCAATTTACTCTTCTATATCAGATCAGACCTGAGGGCCAGTACCAAGAAGAAATAGAATATAAAGCCCAGGATCCTGGTGCTGGTTATTCTAGCCTCAGATTGCCCATGTGTAAAATGGAATCGTAATATATTTCTCAGGTTGATTAAATAAGATGATGAAGCCAAAGAGCTTTCTGAATCCTGAACTTTGTTACATATTGTTATTATCATTCCCCAACTTAATTTTCTTCTTCCTTGAGAATGTCATGGCCTTATTTAGGTTTGTTCTGCCTTGGCAGTTTTGAAAATCTATGCTATGAAATTTAAACTTGTTTCAATTTTGATCCATTTTTTAAGGAAAAGACTAACACTCCTTCATTCATTCGACAAATTCAGAGGCTAAGGGTGGAACATGGTGGTGGTGGGGTGTTAAACATGTGGGTTCTAGAGTAAGACTGCCTGAGTTCAAAGCTGTACTTTTCACTTAATGCTCTATAACTTTGAACAAAGTTACTTACTGCATCTAGGTTTGTTTTCCCATCTGTATACGTGAGATAATAATAGTACTTGCCTCAAAGAGTTGTTGTAGGTGTTAAACTGGCATTACATGTAATGTGTGTTGAAGAGCAAATGGAAGCAGAGGATGACACAAGAAAATGAAAAGGGAACCAAACCTCTGATGGCTCCAGCAGAGGCTGCACAGATGCTGAAAACTGACCTGAGCCTTGGAGAGAGGTGTAGGAGTATAAAGACATAAAAGGAGGAGAAAGATGTTCCAAGCAGAGGTGAGAGCAGGTGAAAAGGCATAGAAGTTTGGGACCACTGAAAATCATTCACTGGGATGTATGGTAATAAGCTGGAGAAATAAACTCCTGGAAAAGAGCCTTCAGAGGAGCCTGGGAAGGGCTGCTCAGATGGTCAGAAGGAAAAGCAGGCGTGTATGGGATGGCAAGGAAGTGGGGACACTATGTGGACTATTTTTTCCCAGCTTAGCTGTGCTGGTTCACAGCAATGTCGGGTGATGGGAGGTAGAGGGAAGGGTGGAGGAGGCCTGAGCACACACAAGGAAAGGTCCCAGGCCAAGAGAAGGAAGCTAGAAGAGAAAAAAAGGGAAGTTGAGGACCCAGGCAAGGTAAGGTATTTCTAGGACCTGAGGTCCCTAAAAAGTCAGGAAAAAATGGAATACAAGGCACAGAGAGTGGTTATAAATTTGGATGCAGGAGATATAGCTAGATTTGAGAAAGGAGAAAAGGTCAGGGCAGGGAGGAAGTTAAAGCACTTCCTCTCATGAAGGAAGAGGCTGGCTTGTTTGCAGTGAGGATAAGATGGTGGGTTAGGAAGTGAGAGTGAATGGCACGTCTGATAAAGGGCTAGTATCCAAAATATATAAAGAACTTACCAAACTCAATACCCAAAAAACAAATAATCCACTTAAAAAATGGGCAGAAGACACGAATAGACCTTTCTCCAAAGAAGACATCCAGATGGCCAACAGACACATGAAAAGATGCTCAACATCACTCATCATCAGGGAAATGCAAATCAAAACAACAATGAGATATCATTTCACACCTGTCAGAATGGCTAAAAATTTTTTTAAAGATTTTATTTATTTATTTGACAGAGAAAAAGGGAGCAGCAGAGGAAGAGAGAGAAGCAGACTCCCTGCTGAGCAGGGAGCCGGATGCAGGGCTCAATCCCAGGACCGCAGGATCGTGACCTGAGCT